CCCACACACCTGAAGTTATATTTTCCTTCTTTCAACAATAAATATTAAGTAGAACATATAGGCTATGATAAATTAAACCTGAGACATGTCTTCAGCAACAAGTGAAAACCTCCCTCTGAAGTATCCTTCTAGCCACTGTCTTTGGTCTTTGAGGCTGGTCATCGCCGTCGACCTCCGTCACTCATCGGACACTGCCAAGCACCTTCACATGTACAGAGACGTTGACGTCAATGGTTTTTAAAATGAAATATCTCAGAGAAACGGAACAAAAGAAGAAGAAGAAGAAGTAAGAAGAAACAGAAAATCTGACGCGATGGTCCATAATCCTTCTCTCGTTTCAGAATATTAAAAAAAAAAAAATTGTGAACTTGTCAAGACCATCCCCCGAGGACAAGCCCCACGGGAACGATCGGTTACGGTAAAGCAGAGACCGACGGATTGGTACAGACGACCAGTAGTCACGCTCTGGTCGTGATCTTCGGTCATCAGATCATCCTTGTCGTTTCTTGGGACCTTGAAACACAGAAAGCCCCACATCATGTAATTTCTAAGGTAATATATTTTATATAAGGCTATCACTTTGACGCGAATCCGCCGAGCTATGTAGCTGTAGCTTATAACCTGAGAGGGGGCATCAAGACAACGGGACATTTCTTGAAAGAAGCTATTGAGGGTTGATGCCGAGCAGAGACTCGGTCACCTGTCCCAAAAGTAAGGGGCATGAGCCTGTAGACGGTGACGTTTCGGCCGTGTGCAATTGCTTTAGCAGAGCTATTGAATTATCAATTTCTAGCTTCAGGACCATAGTCTTTTTTCTACATCATTTCTTTACCTGTATTCGGTTTGTTCATCTTTGATGGCTAGGTAATTTACTGTCAATGTAGACCTTCATTTGAAAAATTCCACAGATATTAGTTGTTGTTAGAAAAGATTTTTGTCATTGGGTTATTTCTTAATTAGCTAGCTAGGTTTGTGATTTCAAGGAGGAGCATTTTTTTCTTTACCTCAAAAGGTATGAGCGATTTAGTTTGAGTAACAAGGTAATATGCTGGTCACCTAATTTATGGAAATATGATTAATATATCAATATTCACATTTTTTTTTGGGTATGATAAATACTCTAATTTAAATCCTCTATACTCATGTATTCTTACATCAAAATAAATATAATTTTCTTTATATATTAGAACTTTAGAAGGGGTGAATATTGTAATTATATAGGTTAATACTAACTAATTAAATAAAATTCTTTTATAATGTCTTTTAAATATATGCAGCAAAATTTATTGCCAAAAAAGTTATCTTTTAAATATCATAAAATTGCATTTTTAAATAAAAAGAAATGAATTATGTGGAAGAGTAAGAACAAAGTCAACGTAGAAAATAGTTTTGGAAAAACCACTCGTAAATTAGACTTGATAATATTCACATATGAATTGAGAGGTGAACTAAGATACATATATCTTTCCATGAATATGATCATTTTTTAATTTTTTTCATAAAATTCATTTTATGATATGATAAATTCAATATGTCTCTAAATTTATATTTTTAGACTTTAAATTATCAACATTGGAAGGGTGATAGATATGAATTTATTCTTAATAAATTATACATGCATACACATTTTAATAAAACTAACATTTTAAGTTGATCTAGTCCACTCAATTAAGAGAAAAAGTGTCCAACTGCATCAGCCCTTGACCTCATGAAACTTTGACTTCATTTGCTCAATTAATGCACAAGTCGCATGTTATTTATATCACATAAAAACATAATTCAATTAAATAACATGTGATATCATAAAATTTAATTAAAGCACTGAATTAAATTTATATTTAGGAGGGAGAATTTATTAAAATATTCAAGTTCTTGGGTGCACAAAATTATATAAAAATTTTCACACAAATGCAAACCCAAAACTAGGTCAAACTAACATTGATAAAATGTTGACTTTTTATTTAATTACTCTTAAACTAAAATGAATTTATAAAATCTAATTTGACCACTCTTCTTCTGCACTAAAAATACATTTTGCTAATTTTTTTATATTTTTTTTCAAAAGTTTATTTTTTTGGATCGAAATATTCTTAATGCACAACTTTGTCCTTTAGACAATTTTTTTGCTTTTAAGAATATGAATGCACCAAAAAGGAAAATATAACTTATAAAATGGGTCCTAAATGAGTGGATAAAATGTATCAATAATCCGAGATATATCCTTACTTGACTGATTGAACTCTTGAAGTGAGCAAACTGGAGTAAGAAGAAATTATTTGACTGTGTGTGTGTGTATGAAGCAATTGCTGGAGTAAAAGCAAGAGAATACAAAAAACAAAGAGGAGACTCATTACTCACTTTAACAAAGCATACTCGAGTATGAGAGTTATGACAAGTCTGGAACATCAAAAACTCAGAATTTATGAAAGAGTTACTCAATTAAGGTGAAAACTTGGATAGGCTAAGTAAATAAGCATTACTCAATTACAAATTAGCGATAAGTCTTTTAGGAATAGGTCTTTCAGTAAGAACATTATTAGAACACACGCAAGGATACATGCATGACCCTTTGGACATCATCATTCAAATATTGAGAATCCCACTCGGTAATTATCGAAATAATGAACACACTTCTGATCATAATGCAGATGTAACCATAAAGTCAATACATCTGTTAGTCCTGCCATAAGCATGTTTAGTATGTAATATATATCCAGTTCCTCCGGAGTACTATGATAATTTTACATACAAGTCTTGATTTAATAGCCACATGTGCTCTGCTTCATTTGTATCTTGTGTTGGACAGATAAGGTATTTCCAAGTCCAACTGAATTTGCCTTAAGCCAAGACACCATGCTAATTCCAGTCCATCAAAGCTTTCCCATAGCCTATGGTAATTAGAGAGAGAGAGAAGAAAGAATAGGAAAAAACAAAACAAGAAGAAGAAGAACATGATACAACACTGTCACTGATGTAATTGTGCCTGTTTAATTTGAAACTTCAAAACTCTGCTTAATGAAACTTCACTTTTCCTTCCCTTAAGAATGCAGATTGATTTGATCAGTTAGTTATTTAGTCTCTCTCTCTCTCTCTCTCTCTCTCACTCACCCACCATAACATCGAATTAAAAGCAAGCACATGTTTTAGACGAATCACACTTGATTGATGTTATTTGCACGGTATTATCTGTGACCTTTCTTATTCCCCAAATAAAAAAAAAAAACAAAGCAAGAAAAAACAAAGCAAGCACATGTCATCCCCCCGGGGATTGAACCCCGTCAAGAAAACAACATACTTGGACTACGTGGAATGGTTGTACAGATTTATTCGCTAGTTAAACTGTTTAAAACAAACATAGTACAATAAAGCCATAAGAGGTTCGCCGTCTGACCAACGGACAACGGTACCACTTAGGCCCTCCCATTATTTCGATCTGATGGATGCTTCTGCCTTATCGTAATGGTTGAACTTGAAAAGACAGATGAAGCGTATCGATGTCCAATCAAATTGAATGGTTCAGTCACAAGCTACATTAATTAATATTTCTAAGCTGCTTTTCCAAATTGTCTGCGAAACTACTCATTCGAGTCCTTCTAAGTGCGACCCCAATTTCAATTGCAACCTCACTCTGCCTACTATCAGATAGAGAAATGCATCCAAAGAATTCAATATGAACAACTTCACTCTTCCTGGGCTTCCCCCACCCAAAATCGGTCTCGTACGCTCCCAATCTCGGGGAGCCTGCAATTGTCAACGCAGGTTGCTCAGACTTGGAAAGATTTCTCAAGTCTGACATGATTTTTTCTGCTCCTGTTAAAGGATCACTCTTTCTTTCTCTCACTCGGCTTTCGATAGCGTTCACTGCCTCGACAAACCCATTTTCGCCCACTAACCGACCCCTCTCCAGAACCACAATTGGAATAGTCAGGCAATTTCCAAAGTACGCAGAAGGTATTGTGAAGTCTGGATGGTTTCTGCAATCTGCTAGAAAAATCAATTTGCATGGTTCATCAAGTCTTTGATCCTGGGATTCTTCTGATTTGATCATACAGACCCACATCAAAGAACAAGTCAACACAAAGGTTGATATATGAGTCGTCCCTGTACCGTCGCCGATGCATCTGATCGAAACCCATCTCTTTATCTGATCAACCTGGTTCCGCTTCAATACAAACGTGGCCCGAACCTTGTCGGAGGAAACATCACTGACGAAGGGTGCAAATTCCATGGATTTCAACTCTATCTTCGGCAGCTCCTTCAAGTAGACGAGCTTAAGCCCTTTAGGATCTTCAATGATATCCCTGCTATGGCACGGCAGAGGCGGAGAGCCTGCCGGAAGGGAGCCCAAATCCCCCCTCGCCCTGCAAACAGCGGCCCAAAACTTCATGAAATGGCGAAACGCTCTGCCGTCCCCGGCGACGTGGGCAAAAGCGATGCAGATGGCCAGCCCAGAGTTGGGTAGAACCGTGACCTGAATTGTCATGAGAGGAATCAAACGCGTGCCGTCTTCTAAGGTAGATGGTGAGGGAAACATGGGAACGAGATGATGTAAGTCAGCAACATGTGTAGGGGAGTCAGATACAAGGCGGGAGAAATCGGCGAAGGACTCGGCGACGGTGAAGGGGAGAGAGTCGCCGTCGCGGTAGAGGAGGTAACGGTGGAGATGAAGAGGGTCAGGAGGGAGAACGAGGTTGGAGGCGAAGGGGAAGAAGTGTTGGAGAGAGAGTGAGAGAGAGTGCTTGAGGATGGGAAGGAGGGTATGGAGGAAATGATTGGTGGGATGTGGGAAGTCGAAGAAGAAGAGACGTTGAACAGGGCACCAAACTTGAAGCCATGGCATGTCCCAGAAAGTAAGAGGAAGAGTGGAAGAAGGAACTGAACCTGGGGGAGCTGAAACTTGACACTGTTCCAGGATCTTGACTATTGCCATGAGGAAAACACGGTTCTTGTGTTGGCAGAGTCCCACTCCCAAGTTAAGCAAGGTTCAATGATGAATGAAGAGTTCAGATTGGAGCCCAGTTGCCGAAGATGATAGAATAGATTCAAAGCACTGTTTGAAGACCCGGACCGACCCGGACGGTCGGACCGTCGCCCGTTGAAGAAAGCGGGTTAGGTCAACTAATTAACCCGTATGAGCAATTGACCCGGGTTGGCTCGTCTGGAACCGGATGGGTTTTATAAACCCGGAAAAGAACCGGAACCCGGAACGGTTTGAATGGGTCAGAAGCGGGTCAAAGGAGGGGCAAAATTGGAATTTTAAAAATTAAAAAAAAACCCTTATCTATCAGTATCTCTCGGATTTCACTTTCAGAGTTTCAGGTTCAGATTTCAGATTCAGCCGGTACAGCTCGGTCTTCAGATTTCACTCCCTACAGTCACGCCACCTCGCCCGCTCGCCGTCGCAGCTAGACTCAGAAGTTAGAAAGAAATCAGGCATCAGCGTATCACGGTCTCGGTCTCGGTCTCGATCTCTGTCTCAGTCTTCTCTTCTCTGTTCTCTCTCTATCTCGCACGGTGGCCGGTGGGTTCTGTCGTTCTGGTCAGTCATCGGCTCATCGCACATCGCCTCCTCAAATCTCGGCCGTCTGGGTTCCGTTTCTGTGGGTCTCTTCTCTATTCTCTCTCTGTGCATTCACACCGAGACAGTCGGACTCTTCCCTCTCTGTGCATTCACGCCATTTCTGTGCATTCACCGTCTTCGTCTTCTTTGTCTTCTTCACAGTCAGACTTTTCCCTCACTGTGCATTCACACCGAGACAGTCAGATACTCAACATCCTTCATTCTTCATCTTCTTCATTGATCGTTGATCGCTCTCTCTTTCTCTCTCTCAGTCCTGGTGAGCTCCTTCATCTATCTCTCTGCCCAATTTAATCTAATGCCATGGTTTTGAATAGCAAATTAGCAATGTATGAATGCTGATGGATGAACATTTTTTTTATTATCTGCGCTGTTTATTTTCTGAATTCTGAATTATTCAAGACTCTTATACTGTGTTGTCTGCTCTGTGATTTATCTATGGATATGGTTATAATTATATTCATATTGTCCTAATCGATTTGAGACTCAAGAGTTGTTTATTGACAAAATAGGAAGGCTATATTCATATTGTCTGTCTGCTTTTAATTTGTTAATTTACTTGTTTAGGTGTAGAAAATGTCGTCATCTGATCATGCATCTACTGCTGCATCTACTCAATCTGTTAGAGCTAAATCAGATCCTACATGGGAGCATTGCACTCAAATACCAAACGAAAAAGAAGGTGGCAAACCTCGCTTAAAATGCTTGTATTGTGCAAAGGAATTTGCTGGTGGGGGAATTAATAGAATGAAACAGCACCTTGCTGGGAAAAGAGGAGATGCCATTAGTTGTAAAAATGTGCCTCATGATATTCGCTTTCGATTGGAGGAAAATTTGAAAGAGATTGAGGGAAAGAGAACAAAAAAACAAGATAACCCAACAGAAACAGAGGATAGTCTATTTGGGGGGAATGATTCAAATATGGAAGAAATGGCTCCTCTACAATCTCAAGAAAGGGTGATTGAAGCAAATGTTCCAAGTTCTTCTCAATCAAGAAAAAGGAAGGCATCTGAATCTTTAGAGAAGTTCTTTGCCCCAAGGACAACCCCGGGTGCACAACCAGGAATAAGAAGTGCATTTGCAGGTAAAGAAGCTTTGCATAGAGCTGATTTAGCTATTGGTAGGTGGTTATATGATTGTTGTATTCCAATAAATGCTGTGAATTCCATTTACTACCAACCTATGGTAAATGCTATTGCTGCTATTGGTCCTGGTTATAAAGCCCCAAATTATCATGCTGTGAGAAGTAAAATATTGCAAGACATGAAGAAGGAGGTTCAGTTACTAGTTGATGAATGCAGAAGTTTTTGGGCTGAAACTGGTTGTACTATAATGGCGGATGGTTGGCAAGATCAAAGAAATAGGCAGTTGATTAATTTTCTTATTTATTGTCCTAGAGGAATTGTTTTTATTAAATCTGTAGATGCTTCAGATATAGTTAAGGATGCTCAAAATCTTTGCAATTTATTCATGGACATGGTTGCATTTGCTGGTGCAAATAATATTGTTCATCTAGTAACTGATAATGCAGCTAATTATAAAGCTGCTGGGAGATTATTAAATGACAAGTACCCTTCTATTTTCTGGTCTCCTTGTGCTGCCCATTGCTTAAATTTGATTTTGGCAGACATAGGCAAGATGGAGATTGTTACTAGTTTAGCAGCACGTGCATCTGTGGTTTCAAAATTCATATATAACCATGCATTTTTGCTAGCTTGGTTGAGGAAAAGAGAGGGTTGGGTAGAAATTATTCGCCCAGGGGCCACACGGTTTGCCACTACTTTCATTGCTTTGAAGAGTATCTATGAGCACAAGCATGATATACAAGCCTTGATAACTAGTAAGGCATTTATGGACTCTAGATACTCTAAGGATCGAAAGGCTAAGGATGTCACAATGATTGTGTTGGACAACAAATTTTGGAATGACTGTAAAATTGTTGTTGAAATTGTAAAACCACTCATCCGATTGTTGAGAATTGTTGATTCTGATGATAGGCCATCACTTGGGTATGTCTATGATGGTATGTATAGGGCAAGGAAAGCTATAAAGAGTACTTTTTTGAAGAAAAAATATTTGTACAAGCCCTACACAAGGATTATTAAGAGAAGGTGGGATTCTCAACTCCGACAAAATCTTCATGTAGCTGCTTATGTCTTTAATCCTGCCTTTCTTTATGATAAAGAAAACTTTTCTCAAAAGCCAGAGGTTATGCAAGGATATCTTACTGTTATAGATAAGAAAGTCTCTTCTAATAAGACCAAGTTCTTGCAAGAAGGCACACAATATCAGGAAAAGAGTGGTAGCTTCAGTCATCCATTGGCTATTGAATCTGTAAAATCAATGCGACCTGGTAAAGTAAAGATTTATATATTTATCTTTTATATTTATTATCTTGCAACTTTATCTGTAAAATCTCTTCTACTAACTTTATCTTTAATATGGCAGATGAATGGTGGCGATATTTTGGAAGTAGTTGTCCAAATGTTAAAAACTTAGCCATTAAATTGTTAAGTCAAACTGCATCTTCATCAGGTTGTGAAAGGAATTGGAGTGTCTTTGAAAGAATACACTCCAAGAAAAGGAATAGATTAGAGCATCAAAGGTTGAATGATCTTGTATATGTTCATTACAATTTTCGCTTAAAGAATAGGTATATTATTTAAAGCTTTGTGTTTATTTGCATTCATAAAGATTGGATGAATGAATTCTTATAATTTGCTATTGTCATGTGTATTTTAGAGTTGCTAACAAGAGAAAAGCAACTGATCCTGTTGATTTTGAAAGTATTGATAAAATTGAGTATTGGGTAATGGAAGAAGATGATCCTTCTTTACTTCATGCTGATGAGATAGAAGGAGATCTCCTTTATGATGAGCAAACACTACCAAGAGCTATTATTTCGTAGCAGGAAGAGGAAGGTTTGAATTTGAATTTTCTTGAGAGCTTTATTACATGCTGTCACTTTTATTATATTGCTCCTAATAATGCTTTAATCTGGTTTGATTACTTTGATGTATTTGTTTATGAAGATGATCAACAAAGAGTGAATGTGGCAGAGGGTGAAGGGATTGATTTAGGATCATTTGGTCAGGAAGATGATGATAGTTACAACTCAGATGCTGATGCTTTCGAGCCTAACCATGCCTGGATTAATCAAGTGGATTGACAAAGATCTGCCAATATCTTTGGCAAGTAATGAAATTATTAGTTATCTTATAATGTTTGGCTTGTGGATTATAGATTGTTGTACTTGTGAACTTGTTGCATCATGTTAATGACTTGACCAGAACATATTATGGTGTTTTTGTTGTATTAATGACTTAGGTGTTTTGAAAGACTTAGGTGGTGGTATATTTTTACTAACTTGTTGTATTAAAGACTTGGGTGATATTTTAAATATATATATATATATATATGTTATTTTTTATTTAATTATTAGGTAGCCGGTTCGACCGCCGGTCCGACCGGTTGAACCATAAGACTCGTGACCCGCTGACATTTCCGGTTCGCTGTCCGGTCCGGGTTTTAAAACACTGATTCAAAGTTCTAACATAAATATAATAATATATAATTGTCTCTTTCATCCACTAGATTGGTCTTGGACTTTCAGTTCCACACATGGATTTTATTACAAAAAAATTAACACTGGATTTTATTATTTTATTAGATCTCCAGTCAACCGGAGTGGCGTGGACGTGGATGTTTTTAAACCTCTGTGGACTTTCAGCCGTGGAAAAAAATTATAAATGCGAAGGGCCTGTTTGGTTCATGAAAATAATTTTGCAGGAAATGGACATAGTAGAACATGGACGTGAAAATGGAGATAGATTTGAATTTTAAAAATATATTTGGTATAACTATGAATTTCTAATTTAATTTTTAATATTAATATTTATTTATATTATGAAAAGGCTCAAGTGCCCTTGTCAATTAAAAAACAAATCTCTCCGACCCCGAGAATAATTGCCAGATAATATAACACCATCCATAACCAATTAACCACAATTGGCCGCTTGGAACTCATTAGCAGCAGCCACCGTTGGCCACCACGCAGAATTCAGATTATCCACCAAGAAGCAGCTTTCTTTCATGGAAAAAAAAAATTATAACCTAAAGATTGTACCCCCCATAAAACTAGAAGAATCAAAATTCCATTGCTAGTAGACACCATTGTCGGACCTTCAAGCTCTTGAACCCATATTATAAGAGCATTATTAGAACACATAGAAGGATGCATGACCATCAATTTGGGCTTCATCATATCATTCAAACATTGAGAATCCAACTCAATAAGAATCAAAGTTCATCTTTTTTTTTTTTTTAATCACAAACGGCAAGCCCAGGCTTGAAAGTCAGGGAAACTAAACTAGAGATGTATCTAGAGCATATTGATCGTTACAGATATCAATTACATTATCATGAATAATAAGACCAGAAAGTCCATAGTGAGCATTTCTTGCCATAATATCTGCAGAAATGAGTACTTCCCGACTAGTGCAATGCAGTTCTAAATCCTCCATATCAGATAGGCGCCAATAAACATTTTGTGTATGTAACCATAAAGTCAATTCATATTGTAATGAACATGTCTAATGTCTAATGTCTAATCTCCAGTTCCTCTAGAGTACTTTGAGAATTTTACATACGAGTCTTAATTTAATAGCCACACTTTCTCTTGTTCATTTGGATCTTTAGTTGGACAGCTAAGGTACTTCCAACTTAATTTGCCTTTAGCCAGGACGCCCTGCTAATTCTAGTCCATCTACGGTTTCCCATAGCCTGTGCTGAACTGCTGATTAGAGAGAGAGAGAGAGAGAGAGAGAGAGGAGGAGAAGATACAACACTGTCCAATATATCTACAGCAGTCACAATCTCATCGTAGAAGACCTTCCAAACTCTGCATAATGAAACTTCACTTTTCCTTCTCTTCTATTATATTTGGTCGTTTTGATATATATATATATATATATATATATCATGTCATTGATTATAATGACTACAAAAAATTAGGTAGATACCTTTGAACGACAAAAAATAACATTTAAATAAAACACTTTAGACCTTTTAAGCTAAAACATATATAACTGTGGCAGTAACGGCCGAATTCATCGTGTTAGACTTTCAATTTTTTTTTTTTGCCCCCTTTTCAATTGTGTCTGTTTCAACAGTTAGGAAATTGCTGATATGATGTGCAAAATCTCAATTTTCATTGAAGAAATTTTTTTACTGAATTATTAGTCTAAAGATATCTCCATCTTATATATGGCACACCCAATTTTCTTAAGCTCTCAAACAATAAGACATTATTCCTGTTAGGGTACACTATGAAAATTGAATACTAAACCTTTAACTTAAAATATTAATAAGTACCAGAGAAGCAAAAACAAGCATGAAATTTTACACCTTTGGCGAATAAGACTACCATGTCCATCTCTACCATTTGTGTTCGCATACCATCTCTATGTCATATTTTAAATTCCCAATTTCCAACAAGCACTACTATCAAAAATGACATAAATGACAGTTTTTTTTATTTATAAATGACAGTTATGTCATTTATGACCTTAGCATTTAAAGTCTCCTTAAATAAATGACAGTTATTTACCTGTCATTTATTCCTTTGTATAAATGACGGTTAAATAACCTATCATTTAAAATATATTTTTATACATCTTCTATAAGAATAAATGATGGGTGTTTAAAATACCCATTATATATTATTACCATAAATGACGGGTAAAAATTCGCCCGTCATATATTTTATGATTTTTTTTAAATAACAATCTGTTATTTATAACAGCCTCCTTGTAACAATTATACAAATAATAATCAGATAGCAATTCTAACATTTTTATACATGAATATCAATTGAAATTGAATTATAATTAATAAAAAATGAAATAAAAACTAATCTCTTATTCTAATCTATTAAGTAATCAATGTATAGAGTTTTTTAAAGGAAGTAATTTACCAACTAATATCAAATAATGAGTGAAAACTAGTAAAACTATAAACACTAATCCTACTTGTGCTGAATCTATTGATTTTCATCTTTGTGCAATGACCACACTTGGAATCTATTGACACCACTCTTCAATTACCTCATTTATTTGTGCATGCCCAAATTCTTCAATGTAGGAGTCCTCGTAGTACTGTAAAACATAAATTATTCACCATAAATTTATTTTAATAAATTAAATTCATTAACAATTATAAAGTAAAAATTAATTGTTGACATACCATCAGAGGAATTGTGCTCTCATTATGAATAATGATGTCTTTCATGAACCTCATAACACAAAAGCCACAATCCAAGCTATTTTTTATTTGTCTTGGGCACTACAAATTAAAGAACCAATGAGTACATATTAATGCATTAAAAAATTATGAATATTTAAATTAAAAAATGATATTAATTATCTTTATTATATTCCAAGTGTAGGCTGCATCGAAATTTGTAAATGACCTTGGAATTATTTGTTTAGTGTTTGTGCAGTACAACACAATTGTCCTAATAAAAAAAATATGTCAATATAGAAATAAACAAATAAATATATAAAATACTTATTTTTTACACTTATGTATTAATCAAATCTAATAAAATTTGTCTATTCTCTGGTTTCCACTAAGAAAATCAAGATAATATATTCTTGGAGTGCTACCATGTGGTTCAGTGGTAATCAACATCCAATGATCTCTAATAGCATTAAAAAGTGTTATAAAATTATAATTAATCGACTAAATTAATCTTAACAAATCCATTAATATAAGTAAGAAGTAGGTCACCCTTGGCAATATGGTATTAAGAATAATGTCTCCTTTTGAGCCATTGCTTTAAAATTTTCACTTAATTGCTTGGCTTGATCTAAAATCTTATCCTTTTTAATTAAAGCATGTGTGCTAACCTCATGAGAACTAACAAAAACGAACTTCGTTTGTAGGCCGAAAGAGACAATAAATTTTTCATGCAAGCACCTACCATTAATATATCAAATGGATTAGTATATATCTAAAATACTAACTATTCATATATGAAAGATAATTTACCGTATATAAAAGCTGATAATAGTGAGGTTGGTCATCTCATGTTGTAGCACTTCATCTATAATATTGAGCGAAAGCATATCATATCGTGGTGCACCATATATTCCTGCCTTGAATGGGATTTGCAAGATCGGAGGATTAGACCTATGAATCATTGCATACGCCTGAAGTAAATTTCAATGCTGGCTTGACAATTGAGGCTCTTATTCAGGTATTACTACATTCGAGACCATTTTTGAGGAAAGCCTAGATCGGGGCACAGTCTTTTTTTTAGATTATGCATCTTTGTTAGCTTTTTTTGGACTTGGCATCTTAACATTGGTAGCTTGCGATCCAACAAAGCTACCCATCGCCTCTCCTACAATCCCTGCATCCTCGGTGGGAACAAGTAATGGATAGTTGAGATCTTTAGGTACATCAATAGCAACTCATACATAGGATGTAAGGAGTGGCATATTATGTAATGTGTCTTCAGGCATATTGAACACTTGACCAATAGCAACCATGTGACGATTCAGACTATTTGCTAACAACTCACATATATTCTCGCCCTATATTAATGAGTAATATACTATATTAATGCTATAGAAAATAAAAATAGTGAAACATAAGTGAAATAAATAAGTATTATTTTACCTCAGGGAGATTTTTTACGGGCATCGTTATACTAAAACTACCTTTCCCGCTAGGATTAATATGAAACTCCCCTTCCTACCTCTCCTTGTCCTTTAGTAAGGTATCAATCAATTCTTGTTGCCTAGCTAGCTCCTCTTTCAGTGCGGCAGTCTCAACCTTTGCGCCCACATCCTCTGTTGACTTCGTCTTTTTTTGTATCCCAAATATTTGTTTTTTTGTGACATCAAAGCCGTAACCCCTAACCCGACCAGAGTGTTCAGGATTACCTAGTGCCTTGCCCAAGACATCTCCATCATTAGGTAGGCCACTTTTTTCTATCTCAGCCTGTGCAACATATAATGAGAAAGTTAATTTTATTAATTGATTATAAGAAAAATGATAATATTAAAATAATATACTTACACATTTGTTTAGCAAGTTCCTGAACACGTTCGCCAACAATATTTCCTTCTTCATTGATTCGAGTTTCTACAAAGAGTTTATGATGTGAAACAGAACTTGCTCCTGAACCCTCTCGCTCGATTTATGCAGTTAAATAAAGTTGAACATTAATGGTGCACATATCAATAAAATAAACTAAAATTATATGACTTAAATATTAACATAGCATTTGCTACTCAATTCCTGCATATCCTATGCGTCCTTTCTTGTAGGG